TTAAAGAACTTCATGACTGAACTTCAGAGAGCTTCAATATTTGCATTAAATCTGTTCAGTTCTTAACTAAGTTTTTTTCATTAGGTCCCACTGGCATCTTAAAATAAAAACATGAAAGGAAAAAACTCAGCAGCCTCTATGCTGGTTTTCCCTCAATGGATATAGTATAATCAGGTGAACTTGACAGCAGACAATAAAACCTCAAGAAAAAAACAAGTTCTGCAAAAGTACTAAGCTGGTATTTTCCCATGAAATTGTGCTAATTAAGGTTGGCTGGATTCTGTGATGCTTCAGTTGCTGAAGTTCTGAATTATTTCCTTTTACACAGCCTGTAATCATTGCCATTATTGTACCAGAGGATGCACATAAACCAGATGCATCTGTGGGATATATGAAGCACCACTGAAAATTGCTACAGTGTAAGGGTCCAAATACACCAGAAAAAAGTGCACAGTCTTATAGTAAATTTTTCTTTATATATTAAAGTTTTATAATTAGAAGATGAGAAACTAAACTGATACATCTTTAACAAATGCTGATTTGGATCCTATTTCACTAAAAATTGTTTACACTATTCATATTTCAAGGAAGGAGAAAATACAGGAGTCAACTGATAGCTAACATAGTTTAGGATTCTAACTGAAACAATAATTCATCTGAATTTGATCCTATTCTCATACTGACGTTAGTTAGAAGCAAATAAATTATAATCCGTTTCAAAATAATACTGAATGCAAATATGAGCTTATTACAGAAAAAGATGGAAAATAGAAAGTTATATATTTTATATATAAAAATATGTGCATGTACCTACAAACACACACACATTAGAAAAGCAACTGAAAGGTACATCTATCTATATTTTATTTCAAAAGACATGGGTACCTTTTTTTTTTTTTTTTAAAGGAGAGCAAACATGATTTTCAGGGCTACATATATCCCGCTCTGAATATGTTTATGATCATCTAAGCTACTTCATACAAGAAGACACTAATTTTTTAGAATGATTTCAAACTTCCAGGCATACCAGAAAAAATGCAATTGAATGCCTCTTCTAAAATCATTATAAAGCATTAGTTTTCAATTTCCCTGTAGTCTTTTTTTCTTTGTTTACTTTTGTAATCTGACTTCCTAAATTTGGGTGGAATTTACAGAAAAGTTGCTGTACATAATATTGTAAACTATTAATAATTTTTAACCAGAGATATTTGCTTTTATTTAATTTGCATTCTTACCATTTTAATGTTGCAGTAAAGCAGACATTACAGAGAAATAATAAAAGAATAAATATGAAAATTAGATTTATATTTTTATTTCAAAGTCTCAATAAACCATTTCTAAAAAATGGGGAAAGGTGTTTCTGTTAAACTTACAACACCTGTAAAAATTGAAATATAATTACATCTATGTACACATCATGAAATAATTAACAATGTTGTATATGTTTCAATAATTTACTAACAATCCCTAGGCCACTTAATCAACTTTGTAAAAGAGCCATCTAAGAGCAGTGAAGATGATGAATAGCTTCTTTCTAGGATGGGAACTGGATTTTAAAGAGTCACATGGTTTATCTTTGTCATTTTAAAATTACTGCACAGACTTCCATGACATTTACAGTTCTTTACATCTTCTAGACAGGTATATAATATAAATCAGAAGGAAAATATGACTTACTAGAAGGTTATCTTGAACTACTCAAAGTAATCCTACCTAAAATTTACTTGCACTTACATACTAATCATGTGGCAAATCCCTTCTATTAATATGAGGCTGGGGGACATCCAAACACTCTTCAGTTGATTGAGGAAACCAGTAAGCACACCAGTTCAACCTGTACATTACTTACCTGTGCTTCCTGAGGGACCTGTGCTGCATCAACTCTGTCTGCAATGTAGGCTGTTAGCTGTTTGTCAATAACAGCAAGGGACTCTTGGATTAAGCGGAGGGTTTTGTCAGTCTCCTGGGCAGACTGAATACTCTGTTCAAGACTCTTTTGTCTTCTCACAGCCTAAAAACAATGACAACATTATTAATATTTACAGTAATAATGCATATAATATTTTTTTTCCCACTTTTTTTTTTCCAAAAATTGCCAGCTATAAATCAAATATAGTACTCCTGAGTTATGCTTATCCACCTTTTTGTATGATAAATTGCGTATCTTTTTTCCAGCCATTCAGTTCTTTTTAGTAAGAAACAAACATAACCCCAGATTGCATGACCAACTTCTAAAAAACGTAGGACCCTGAAAAACCAATGCATGCATTGAAGATTTCTATACAGAGTGGAAGCTGGAAAATCTGCATAAGAAAACCATCCTGACAGTCCAGTCTTTAATTCTAAGGCATAGTGGTTCTCCTGATCTTATTATATAATTCAAGAGATTTTGTTTACTGAGAACAGGGTTACTGCCATCACAATCCCATCCGAGACAATCCACTTCAGTGAGTGAGAGGGATAAAGACTCGCTTGAGAAGGAGCTCTCTTATATGAAGTATAAATAGCTGGCTGGAACAGAGGCACTGCCTACTCTGGAAAAAAGAAGAAATAGATCCTTGTCTTGTCTTGGGATGTGCCCGATCTATTATCATCCTAACCATAGTCTCCTTTAGCCTAGAAAGCTGACTCTTGCTTCTACTCCACCAGCAGTACCACGGTGGATTGCCTACCATCACCTTTTACATAATGCTTTTTTTGAGAAGGATGCTTTCCTTTTAAAGGTGCTCACCTTATGGTTTACAAATCAGAGCAATAAATTCTCCTTCCAAGCTGTCCTTAAAGCACATGCATATTTACACAACAGAAATGGGTTACCTTTAACTATTATTTGGTAACAGTTTAATATGTTTCTTCCATCTGTCACTGTGTCCACCTGCAGACTCATATCTTACTTAGGCTACAGCTTCTGACTACCAGAGTTTCTGCTTTGTACAACGCACATAATAATTACCAACAATCTCAATAGAGATTTTTCGCTGTACAAGTCCAGTCATACTGCTGACCACAGAATAAAGTGACTAACTTTCTTTGACATGAATCAAAGGAAGAGGCAGAAGGCAAGCACTCTTTAAATAACATTGTTAGATGTCCTGCCATTTTTCAAGTCAAATCACACTTTTTCTCTTTGGTGAGCCTGCTACGCTTTAATTTAATTTCATACCTATTACAAAACTCTTGTCTTGAAAATAACTCTCAGCAATTCAGTGAGAATGTTTGATATATCTGTACCTTCTTCACAGAGCTCAGATTCTTATAGAGCTTTACATTTAACAAATGAAAAAGATTATTACTTGTGAGTATTCTTGCTAGCTTTTGACTTAGATAAGGGAGAGGGATCCAACAAGTGTTTACTATATTTGTCTTTGTAAGCTGCTTTGTGCTATTTCAAAACAGCTAATCAGATAATCTTGTATCACTGCTAGTTCCAGGAGCCTTCTGTGGAACTGAGCAGCTTTATATATCAGACCCACGCTGTCAGAGTTAATGGAAGGACCTGAGCCACTAAGGTATTATTACCCTACCAAATGAACCATTAAAACAGTGTAACTTCACAGTACAGTATTAAGGCTTGCTACCTAAATGACTTTCACCTTCATCTGATTTGAGATTTTGTATTACAATGTTGAGAACTTTTGTTCAAAGCAGCAGGGTTAAAACCCACAGCTTCCGTTTACCATGGTACTCCTTACTACTGATTTGTAAGCTTGGTTATGATACAGTCACTCTTTACCTTTTCATTTCCACCACTGTAATTGAAGGACACATTAGATCAGAAACAGGATAAGTAGCTTTCTATAGTCCAGGGTAAGGACATCCTCCTCTGGAAGCATGGATAAAAACCTCTCTGCCTTTACTGATCTCTTTGAATAACTGGTAGGACTACCCTACATGCATAGTCCATTCATACTGAGGGCTGCAGTGCCCTGACGTTCAGAAAAGCTCAACATTTAAAAGAAGACACTGAGAAAGTTCCATTCTCATTAGTCATTAAGCGCCTGCACCTTCTGGAGAATTCAGTATACTGGACACAAATTTGGTGCTAAGTCCATCTGGAAAACTATTTTAATAACAATAGTTGAAGCTTTGAACTTTTGTGAAATGCTGACGCATGCTAACTACTATTTGCAGCTAGGCAATTGCTTAAGTATAGATAATTTTGCTGCCAGCCTCATGAGAAGCCTGAATGTTTGCAAAGAAGTCATTATCACTTCATGGAAACTCACAAAAAGTCTTAAAATTGTATGAAAAATGTGTGGTGATTGAAAAATTTTCATCTCTGTGCTATCAGCAGAAACTATGTATATCAAAATCTTATTTTAGAGTACAACTGGAAAAATTAAAACATTCCCATACTCATTTATCAAATATTAAAGCAGATAAAGTTAAGAAAGAATTACAACAAATCCTTGCCTGAGTCTGTCTGGATTGTTATGGCTGGATTTCAAACAAACATCAAGTCAGATAAATGTATGTATGATTTTTATATCTTTACATGCACACAAAGTACGTACACACGCAAACACAAAACATTTCTTTGTTCTCAGAGTATGTGATTACAGCCTAAGAACCTGTGTGACATTTTCTGTCTTCCAAATGAGGTGAAAGTAAATCTTTCCCAAAACCCATGAACAGTTTAGGTGAATGAACAGATGATATCAGACCAAGCTGAGAATGCAGTGGTACAAGAGAGGAATTATTTTGGCAGTGGGAACAGAACCACAGATCTGAATGCTGGGAAATGGCACCTTCACAGCTGGGATGATCTTCTAAGACATAAATAGGTGCTGCTTTAATTTTTTTGTCTGTAATGCTTACCGGGAACAGACCCAGTCCTGCATGCTCACCTCAAGTGAGGCCTCTATCTTGACCCTGTTCAATTCACACAACAAATGTAACAAAAAGTCTTCACAATAATCTTATAAAAGGTACAATACACTCATGTAATAAGATATTTCTCCAGTACACAACAGCTGACTCAAAAACCTAACTCTGTTCACTAAGTAGGTCCCTGACACTATCACTGACATTGCAGAATCCTTATCAATTCAATCAGTAGGAATGCCACAATATGGAGGACACTTCTTCCTCTTTTTCAGTAGAAAAGAGAGCTACTGATGGAGGTAAGCATTAGATGGCATTACAAAAAGGGGCAGACATATTACACATTTACATCTATGAACCCAAGTTTCAGATTTGGCCTTAAATCTCATATGCTTGTGCATGTGAAAATCTACATATGCATATTTTTAAGAGACATATGAAAGCTGAAAGGATATATATCTATAATATAAAAATATTTTAATTTATGATGGGGGGGGGGTTGTTGTTGTGGTTTTTTTTTTTTTTTTGGGGGGGTGCAGGGAGTGAGA